CAATATCCAGGACTACGATGAACTGCATGTACCCACGCAAGCAGTAGAGAACCCCTGCATAGCTCCTAGCCATCGATCTTGGAGTGATATCTTCCAGCCGGTGTACGAGCAAGCTCGGGCTTCATGCATGCAATGGCTTAGAAATGCCTGGCTAAAAGATGGCGCAAACATACAGACATGTCTCCCCTTTGTCTGTCCTTTCCTTCTGAGCGATCCCCAAAATCACCTCAACTGCCTCGTCGACGGGCTCGGCGAGAAAGTCTCAGACGTGAAGCGCCACATCGACCAGGTTCACACGCAACCGCTCTACTGTCCAGTGTGCTTCGACACTTTCCCGCTTGCTTCGCAGAGGGAGGTCCATATCCTAAAGCGGACGTGTGAGAAGAAAGATATCGTCGAATTCCACGGTATTAGCCAGGAGCAGAAGCTTCTATTGTCGACGATACCCGGAGACCTGAGTGATACAGCGCACTGGAGAGCCATTTGGAGCATAGTGTTTGGTGATTATGTTCCGATTCTTGATCCGCATCTCCCGCCTCAGGTATGCCGGCTCATTTCCTTGGTGGAGGAGTTCTGGAAGGTGCAAGGATACGAAGCCACGAAAAGGCTCCTCGTCGATCAGCGCCTGATGGAATCCGATGGCCTTGGGTCTTCATCTTCTATCGCTTCCGAGGACCACGAGGAAGCAGTGGAGATTCTAGGCAATGAGGTTTTCAAGCTTCTCCTTGCCTACATCTTTCAAAGAAGTCTGGAGGGGTAGTTGGGTAAGTTCTTTTTCAGGATCATTCTTGAGTGATGGATGCTTGGCTAACTGGTAACTGGTAACTGGACAGCTATATGAGTCCCACGAAACCATTTGGGACGGCTGAGTAGAGCATAAGAGGGAGGACCGTAGCTTCTGGGCTTCCTAGTGGATGAGTGGACGGTAGAGATGAAACTGAGAACGCAACTAAAATGAAGCTGTCAGTTGGGGGGTGGGGGGGGGGCATGATCTAAGCCGCTGCCCTCGCGCTCGGGGTCGTTGAAGGTTTTGAAGGGTGTAGGAGTTTCAGATATTTCGTAAACGGACGGAGTATAAAGTACAAATTGAAGAATCGGAGGGTGCAAAGGAAAGGTGCAGGTACATGGACCGGTACAGATACGAATACAGGGACAGGGTCGGATACAGGGACGGCAGGGGCGAGGCAAGTAGAAATACATTGGTCAAGTAGATTCTGCAGGAACGACCGAGACAGAACGGAAGGCATCGATCAAGCGATAGAGGCCCATGGTTCTGGAGGGAAGGTGAACCGGAGCGAGGAAGCGAGGAACAACTGTATAGGCCAGGCGGAGTCTACGGAAGGAACTAGACAGCGTCAAAGGAAGGAAGTTGCGACGGTAGAATGCGGAACATGTCCAGGAACCAGGAACATAGAACGTGGGGAAGGAGCCAAGAATCAATGATCACATCGCGAAACTACTAGGCAGAGAGAGATGAGAACGAAGTTAGGTAGTACTTATAATGTCTAATACTGTCCTTAGAGAAATCGGTCGGATGGACTTTACGTGTTGCTGCATCTGAGAAAAGCCAGACCCGAGTTGTTGCATCTTAGAGGTGTACGACCACTCCGTATCACGCATCGACGTAGCTCTACTACTAGTTTCCGAGATCTAAGGGTGAGGTGGTGAAAACTCGTCGACTCTGCAGAATAAGCACCGACTGCTTGGATCATCTTTTCGGCGCCGCCATCGAAGAGAGAACACTCCGTGCCCGATTGTGACGGCGGCCTGCCGACGGAGCTGGCTTCATCGCGACTTGTTTCTTCACTCCTATTTTGCGAACCAATTACAGAATCCATCCACATCACTCTGCACGACGATTCCGACAAGAACTGGAAAAAAGGCGAGGCGAGTCAACGTTTGGTGGTGGGGGCGCAGCGTCATCGGGAACCTGCTACAGGTCAGGCTGTTACATTGAAAAGAGGTGAATTGGTTGCCTGCTTGAGAAACAGAGAATAAAGGACAGATTCGGTCTCTGACCGGGAGGCAACAGCTTAAATGGAAACAAAAGCCAAATTTGGGGATATATATCGTGTCAATGACCAAAGATCAAACAATATGTATCGAGTTTTCGAAAAGTACAGAGGAAGAATGAAGGTATGCAATATTTCTGACTGGCGATCGATGGCCGATCCCCTCATATAATCTTCATGTTGGAGTGATTGAAGCTGACATCGAGGTGCGCAGAACATGTCGCCGGCCAGCTCAACATCCCAGGGGATTGACACCCCCCGACGCCGTCGACTCCTTCGGAATCGGCAGCAGAATGGACAGCACCATCTTCGCAACAGCCGGGGAAACCATTTCCCCAAGCCAAAGTTGCCTTCGCAGTTGATGTATCAGGAAGCACCATGGGCCCGACGCTCCGAGCGGAAAAGCACTTCATCACTGCCATGTCAGAGCTCATCAATCCACGTCCCCGCTTCGATGCGAAGATCCTGCCCTGGGACAATACCACATACCACATCCGTGGCGTATCTCAGGTGAATACGCTTCAATCAGAGGGAGGCACTGACCCCGGAGTGCTCCTCAAGAGCGGGTTCTGCAGGCGTGCTATTCTCGACTCGGATCTATGGTTCCTGATGACGGATGGGCTCATCACTGACGGGACGAGGTCCGCCTTTGCGGAGAACCTCGCCAAGAAGGGCGTCCATGGGACAAATTGTGTTATTGTCATCTTCGGGGATCCTGCCTTGGGTCCGGGTGGATGCGACATTTCCGTTGGAATCAGCGTCTTCGCCGTCGTCCCCAACTGTGCCTTTCTGTTTTACAATACCGAAAATGGAGAGATTCGGCTCTTCCAGACCAGAGGCGCTTTCAAGAGTCTTCTCAAGGGCCAGGCGCCTCCGGTTTTTGACAAGTCCTCGAAATGGAACTCTCTGCCCCTCGTCAACCCATCCGACTTTGCCGGCATACAGGTCCCGCCTCCTCAGAAACTCAGCGCCAATGAAGTTGCTCTCCAGGGAGACTTGGTTATCAATCTCGATGACTTATTTAGCAACCGTCTCTCGCGGGAAAAAGTCTCGTCCATCTTCGCAAACGAAGATAACCTCTCGACCGTGGTGATGACTTCGCGAACTCGGAACCAACAGGGTGCATTTCAGCATTGGATTCAGCAGCAGGCTATCGCCATCGACGACCCACTCCAACGCCCTCGGGATGACATACACCACAGAGCCCGGAACGTCTTCACTGAGGTGATTGACCTACTCCGGAGAGGAAGAACGCCTCCGGAGCAAGTGAGGCAGAAACTCCGCCAGGCATACCTGGAAAACATGAAGCAGTTCGTGAGGGAAATTCAAACGAACGAAGATCATGCTCAAGAGCGCCAAGGAGTCATTGACAGTGCATCGGCATGGTCGAATATGAATTTCAACTATAGTCCTTCGCTGTGCAGTCCCGTGCCTTGGAAGACTGCACAAAGTCGGTACACTCCTCAGTACGTCTTCAATACACCATCAGCGCAATCTTGTGTCTCGGCGCCAGCTCCACCAGCTGCTCCTCTCAGAGGGCGACCTCAATATTATGCGGCATACGTACAATCCTACAGGACTTGGGAGGACAGCATCCGAGACCCTCATATCCGCCGGTTGCTTTACACCCCAGGCTTCCAATCCACTGGGGGCGCATTCACGGGAACTTGCCCCATTTGCGATGGCAGAGTAATGAAAATGGCTTTCCTCTTCCGGGACGTCCCCGCTTCGACTTCCACTGTCGGCTTCCCTCCCCCAGGAAGCCGTACGCGACTTGCGTTCCCGTTTGCCATGGGCAACTTTCACGAAACGGACGTCCTGTCTTCCACTATTTGTTGTGATCCGTGCTCCAGTTTTGCTGTGAGGACGGCATCATCTATGAATCCGGAAGAGACGATCAATGCAGCCGTTCCTTTGGTGTCATATGCCGAGAATAAGGCGAGTATCAACGATGCCCTCGATAAGATTTTTAGCCTGCGCTTTGCCGAGGAAGATTTGCCCATGGTCCTGCTATCCGTCCTGCTCACAGCACGACCGCGCTTTGTAGCTGCTGCCTCTGAACAAGCAGCTTCCTCGACTGCCGCCACCACCGTGTCAGCCATCGACTGGGCGGTCAGAGACCTACTCCACGCTATTCCCGTATTAAAGGAACTCTCCGAGTCCTTCTCGCATCCAGACGCCAAGGCACCGCTCTGGCCCCTGGCCTATGTGCTCAGCGAGTCATTCACGGACGAGACTCACCCACCTAATCAGCCGCTAATGTGCTACCCCCTTCCTGGCTTCATCGTCCTCCTAGCTGCCTCAGAAAACGCCGGCATCAAGCGGCAACTCCGCGAACTCGCCGTACTCCGCCGCTTCCTGTTCCTCCTCGTCGAGGAGTTCCATCGCGCGCGTACGTCGATTCCCGTCAAGAGTACGCCCTCCACCGCCGTCCTCTCCATGATCTTTGGAAACCTCCTCTGGGAACAGCAGCAGCAGCGGCTGCGACAGGAAGGAGAGAGTCCCAGCCCGCCACCGGACTCCGGCATTGACATCGAACATAGGAAACCCATTCTCTCCGTGTCAATCGCGTCGTTGGCTGAGACGGCGCTCCTGAGCGAGCAGAGCTACGGAATCATGCAGCGAGCCGAGGAGTTTGGAGCTCTGCAGAGCGGGTTGCTCGCCGGAGTCGACTGGGTCGTCGGTCTCTTTTTGCACGCGTTGTATAGGACTTACGTGAAGGCGCCTGGATTGAGTGCTTGGGAGATGTTTGGGGAAATTATGAAGACTTCGGCTATGGTTGAGGGGGTGACGAAGGTTAGGGGGTTGGGGGAGGAAGAGGCGAAGGGTTTATATGATGAGCTTACGGGTGTTTTTGAATCGTCTGCCTAAGGAAGTGTTACTTTGTGATTTTGGTTTGGGAAATTTATAATGAGACTGCGAATGATATTATTATATCTTGTGACTTTTATACTGTTCTTCCATCCCTTACTCGTTGATCGATTCATTCTACGCCAACGCAAGCCCATTATCAACCCGGTCCGTACTCCCATCACCTGTACTGCAAGCCCGCTTCTCCTCCATAGACCTCTCCTGCCGATTCATGACGTGGAAAAAGCCCCAGAATGCAACGACCGTTGACGCGATCGTCAAGACAACCCAGATCCAAACCTTTGATGGTTCGCCTAGGTACTCGTTGTCATCGAAGAAGGGCATGGCCAGAATAGCCTGCGTGTGTTACGAGGTGTCAGTCCGGGGTGAATGCAGCACGGATCTTCAACCTTTTTTTTAAGAATTTCTTGTGTACATACCGCAAACGAGGTTCCCGGCAGGAACAACATGGTCAAGATAGCAATCTAATGTCGCCAGAAGAAGATTAGCGATTTACCATGTAGAGGAGGTTTGGCAAAAGGAAATGGTTCCGAACCGTCTTCATGGCGATGCTGTCGTTGTTCACGCTGATCGTCAGCTCGTGAGACTGCAGGGCTACTTTCTGAGAGAGCTTTGCATCGGCCTGGGCTGCTCTCAGAATGGCTTGTAGCGTTTGTCGTTGGTCACCTGGATTTGGTTGAACAGCTAAGCGAAGTGTTTGCAGGTTGTGTTAGTTAAAAAAGCCAATATTATAACTCTCTCTCTTCTCCCTCTCACTCGCGCGTACACACATGCACACACACACAGACAACACACATACACGCACACATACACGCACACATACACGCAAACACAAAGGAGATGATTTACCAAGGTGAGGATATTCTGAACTTTCCGCTCCATCTCGTCCGAGAAATCCGTAATGGCTTTGAGCTGCGACTGGAGCTGCTCAATTCGTATCTTCTCCTTCTCCGACTCGGTTACGCCACTGGAAGAAGAGCCATCAACATCATCGCCATCCCCGGAGGCGTAATCATCGCCGTCCATGTCTAGTCGATGGGAGAGGAGGTCGGATAGGATGAAGCCTAGCCGGCCGAGTTCGGATTTGTACCGGTGGAGGTGGGCGGCCATGATGTGGAGGGCCTTGTTCATGTCCTTGCTTCCGTCGGAGAAGGCGGATGTCTCGTTGGCGATCTCTCGCTGGAGGTGTTTCTCCTACAATTACTAGAACATTAGCAGCAGGAATTGGAAAAGAGTAGAAAAGAACTCCTCGCCACGTTAAAGAGGCAAAAAAAGACTCGCATGCATGACAAGTTGCTGGTTAAAACACAGCAACACATTATTCCACCACCTCAGCGCACTCGACATATAAATCAAATGCACTCAAAACGAACCCATCCTCTCCCCGGCCCCCCTTTTCCTCACAAATGTCGCCCTCATCCTCACCAGCGGCTCCTCAATCAAGTCCTTAAACCGCCCATCAAGCAAGTTCACAACAATCACGCTCATCCTCTTCGCCTTCAAGTCCCTCCGAACGTAGAGCCCGATATGGGACCCGCGAATATCGGCTTTCGCACCAGAAATATGGATATAGTGAAAAGGATCCATCTGGTTACTCCCCGCCGTGCTTTTGGTGTGCTCTTTCGCGTCGACCAGGCACTTCACGACAACGCGCACTGGTAGATGACACCAGTGGTCCGAGACGCCGTCGGAAAGCTTACGGAAGCCCGTGCCGCAGACCATGTAAGGCCGCGAGAGGGCCGCCATGAGTGAGACGGGGACGTGGTAGGTGGACATGAGGGCGCGGAAGGAGGCGGGGGTGATGTGTAGGCGGCGTCGGTCATCTGGGGAGATTTGGGGGTCTCTTGTTAGATTGCGGGATATGGAGCTTTTTTTGTGCGTTGGGCAATGTGTTAGTTTCTTTGTGTGTCTATGTGGAAGCTATGTGCAAAGTTGGTGTTCGTACAAGAGCTGGAAATCTGAGTGTGCTGGTGCCTACTTGGACTCGTTAGATCGAGGGATGCGCATTCGAGGTTTTAATGAACTTACAGAAGATAATAGTTCGAGAAATCTTTTCTCATTCAAGGTGGACTCGCGAGTAACTATGAGGGTTGGATGCATTTAGTACTTGTTGCCGGCAACGGAATATGGGATGGGATGCCTCATAAACCAGAGGACCTACTTGACCAATTGCTAGAAGCGAACAGCGAGTACAACGAAGTGGCCTTGGACAGCTGGTCCTTTTCAAACTCGTGGAAGGCGTAGGATATATCAAGTTCATCATCTCTACAAGTCAGAGTCGGTCCTTAGGTATAGACAGCCATGGCACAGGCACAGGTGTAACAGCAACGGGAGACATCAGATGTATCGAACAGAAAATTCGGGATCAAAACAATCAGGATCCAGCGGCCAATCTGAAGAGCGAGTAATTCTCCACCGGCCCTGGCGATGAAGGGCGAGGTTGGCTGGTCGGGACTAGGGTAGCCATCGAGAGAATCTATAGATGCAGTCGTCGTAATCTTCTGCAATTTCAATCAATGGGAAACAGCGAGGCTAAAACAAACACAAGAAGGACTCGGCCAAGGAAACATTTATTCAAAATTAAAAGAAAAGGATGAGCAAAAATAAAGTGACGGAGACGCTTAAAGTTGCGCAGCCGTGCAAAGTGCTACGGAGGTGTGACACCTTGCAGCTTCAGCTCTTATGGTGGGTGGCTGTGCACGACAAGTGATGCAAGAAAACAACAGAAACACCGGTAGCCTTCATTGCGAACCACTCTAGCTTATCGAAAGCCAGAAAAGAATTGATGATGCGATGTCCGTCTCCTCACGATCGATATGGAGCGAAACTCCCAAGTCCCAACTCTCTCAGTATTCCCGTCCGCCTGGACCATCGCGACAGAGGAGAAAGATGCGCCTGGAACTCCGCCGCCGTTAACGCCATTGCCTTCGGCATCGACGCTGACGTCAACACTCTCTTCCAGTACTCTAACTTCCTTTCCCCAAGAATGGTCGCTTGGGTCCCTCACACCAGCGTCGACACAGAAGAACGGCGCAACAACGCCTGATACGTCCTTTACTATCCCATCTTCCAAGTCCATTCCTGCCTTCGAAAGAGAGCGGACGCTGCCGGAGAAATCGCCAGGATTAAACGAATATAAAGGCTCTTCCGAATTCCCCTGACAACAACATGAAGACACTGACGCCGGGCCGTCGAACCAGACAAAAGGTCCCCTTTTGCCAGAAAGATCGGATCTTATCGCTTCTCAGCCAAATCCCGAAGAAAAGGCAAATATAAGCGCCATTCACCAGTCTCCTCCTTACCCTCCTTACGCCATTTTTCGAGCTCTCGGGTATAGTAAAGGCGGTTCCGGTGCAAGTGCGCTCTTCAACCCACATGAGTCGTCACCAGTACATGGGCCTGGAAGAAAGAGCGATCCCGCATCCATCGAGCGTGTCCACTCGGCTTTGTATCACGATTTTGGACCGGCCGGATACGACCCCGGAGGTGCCTCCTCATCCGTATCCCTCCCGGGGTACGGTTCAAGTCCGAGCCCACCATCAGGGCCAAACTGGCACTCGCACTCCCAACTGCCTCCAGGGACATATGCGTATACGTATGTTCCCAGGAATACAAGCACGGGCACCCATTTCACTACTGGGGGACATGTAAGTGGAGGAAGCATACAGGCTAGACCATCTTCGATTTACCATTTCATACCCCCGGCTGGGTACTACGACCACCGTGTCATGCCTCCTTCCGCGATGACCAGCGGAGGTTCGGCGAATTCAGAGCCTGTTTTGGGACACTACCATCAACCAGGTGTCTGGTACTCTTCCGAGAATGTAACGCCCCCCTTCTCGGCGGTGAGCGGAAATTCCGCAGATGTGGGGCCTGTTTCGGGGTTCCACCCTCAGCCACCGGCTGGATATGCCCCGGAGCATATCACGTCTCCGTTTCCGGTCCTGAGTAGGACGAACCCAGAACCTCCTCTAGCATACTACCCTCCGCCGCCTGCCGGATATTATCCACAAGATGTTACTCCGCCATTCTCGACGATGAGTGGAAGTCCTGCAAACCTAGGGTCCGTTTCAGCGTACTACCCTCAACCGCCTCCTGGGTACCCTTCTGAGCATATCACACCTCCGTTCCCAGTCCTTGCGCTGAATGGAAGTCCGAAAAATCCGGGATCCGCCTCCGCATATATGTACTACCCAACGCCTCCGACCGGTCATGTTTCTTCAGATATAACTCCCCCAATATCAGTGCAGCCGGCCCCTAGGATCGAACTCGGTGAACCTACCTCCCAATCTGAGTCGAAGGCACAGGGCCAGTCGCAAAAGCCCGTGGTACCCGCGGCGCCTGTCATGGGCGGAACACGAATAACGCCGTCGACTGCGCCATGGCATTCAAGCTTTCTGACGAGTCCGTCATCGGCCCGAGATTCTACTAAGAAGATGAAGATGAAGCAATTATTGGGTGTGTTTCGAAAGAAGACGTAGTTTTTCGAGTGAGGTTCCCTGCGTTGATCCGCCAGGAGCACTTGGTGTTGTGATGGAGCTTGGAGGACTCTGACGTTAGATTCTTTGCCCGCTCTACTCCTCCTCGCATGGAGTGAAAAAGTGGGGAGAAGAAACAATGAGAAGAAAACGAGAAATATAAGAGTGATCCCTTGAGATGTACCCCAAAAACAAGACTAACTTTGGTGGGGCAAACATCAGAAACGGTGACAGAAGGTACTGCGATGGCGGTACTAATCCTTATACCCTGGAATGGCTCAATCATACGCTTGAGCAAGAAAGCCGAAGGTGCTGCCTTGATCTTGAGGCTCAGACATCGGCTTCCTGTCGTCCTGCCTTACGTGGCTGTCCCTCGTACATCATAGCTGGCGGATCATTATACTTCCTGCGAACACATTGACGGCACAGATGCTTTTGGTCTGTGAGTCGGCTTAAGTTTATCGAGGCTCAAAAACGAAATAAACTCCTGATAAAAATGAAAACACACATGGCGGGACCGAGTCGGCTCTCAAGATGCGGGCTCTTCTCAAACGCTCGTATATGAGGCTGAACGGTTACACTAACACCGCCTCTGACCTTCGGTGCCCGTATTGGCACCTCATGCCAGCCACAGCCAGAGCCCAACACAGCAACCTCTGAACCCTGAGACTTTCTGGGATCTTGAGTGGATGTAGATCAAATAGGGCTCGAGTTAGCCGAATACATGTCCTCTATACATGTCCTCTGTACTTGTACCAGTACTGAAGGCAGAAGAAGCCTCACAAGGCAAGAGTTGCCTGATTGATAGTGATTGCATTGTCATCATCTGCCATCGGCTGCTCTTCGGGTCGATTCTTCTCCGAGCTGCCAGGGAAGGTCGGTTCTCGGATTCAGCGAGGTAGGGCTGCATTGGCAATTTTTCACAGCGAGGGGTGGAGAGAGGGCAGCCATGACTCGGGATAGATCGGTCGCTGTTTGTCATGTGTGGCTGTTCTGTGATCTCATGCTGAGACTTGACTCGTCCTTGATTGGATTATCAGGGAAAGTATAATTGTAGTAAGGCTACTGCTACGGGAAAGGGGGGAGGCGTGAACGGGAAGGGGGGAAGGAGAAGGAGAAGGAGGAAGGGAGCATGAAGGGATTGAGGCCAATGGAAAGAGCAGGCATTCAATTGTTGGAGACTGATGTGCGATGTACTTCGTAGTGGGTGGACGTTCAAATTGTTGTTTGGGGGATGGTCGAGACCGCCTTGGTAAAGTACACCTCAATGTACAAGTACATGCTTATCAACATATCCATCAAACACGGAGACAGTGGAAAGAACCAAGGATGAAGGCACAGACTACGAAGTACAAGGGTAATGTACAGTGAGCCAAGGCAAGTGTAACCAAATCGAGCCAGCATCAAGCATCTGTTGCATTCGATGGCTGCCAGCATGAATCTAGAGGCATCAAACAACCCAGGCAGGGCGCATGGCACCGCTGTGCCAAATGTGCCCATTGAACCGGACGTCAATCAATCAACATCAACATTGGGGCAATCAAGATACTTCGAAGGTCCCCAGGCCAACACCCTATGCCTCAAGGCCCCAAGTGCAAGGGCGACGACGGGCCTTTATCCTCTCGCGCCTAAACCCTGCCCAGGCACAATCGATCGATTCCACAATCTGCATGCCCTCGGGATTCGCCAGCCCAAATCGACAGCCAACTTACCCATTCTTAGAGTGAGTACCCAACCGACTGAGGCAGGAATCGGGTTCGACATCGGTGCTCATCGCCTACTTCCGAGCGCTGCTAATTCGAAGATCAGACATCCACGAAGCAATCCAATATTTCAATGCCGCCAGGCGGGCCGTATCTTGGCCCATCAGGTGCCAGCGCGCCAGCATGCCAACAATGTCGACCAGGTCTGCCTCCACCAGGCGACACAGCCAGTAAGCCAGCAAGCCCTACCAATTTTCTCAATTGTGGCTGCAGATGTGCATGGGGTAACCAAGCTCTGGCCTGTACGAACGGACACATTTGAGACATGGCCCTATGTTATTTTTAAACAACCGGCTGCCCCGCTATCGGGTCCGCACTAGGAACCTCTCTGAGATTTTCGACGAACGGCGCAATGGTGCGTTTCGATGGGGCCCGAAGCATCCCCGTCCACTTCTGCCCGCTCGACATCAGCATTGCTTTCCGTCAGTTATATCTCCCAGAATCCGTCATCCCAAAAACTTATATACAGGCTTGACTGCCTCTTTTTTTTCTTTTCTTCTTTTTCGTCCCGGTCTCTGTTCCTGTCTTATGTCTTCCTCTGCGTCTCCGTCTCCCATTACTACCACCACCCATGAGAGAGAAGCCTTCGCTCGAAGCTTCATGGACAACCTCCAGCCACACCAGACGTCCTTTGGCACGTTCTATCTTATCCCTCTCCAAGATTTCCATGATTGCATGACATAAACTACACCCATCCAGTAACATATTTCATTGGCCTTTTTTTTTTTCTTTTTTTTTTTTTTTTTTTTTTTTTCTTTTTTTTTTCTCCTTTCCCAATCATATTCGTCTCTGTCTCTGCTTGTCTGTCTCTCTTCTCCAACTCATTCCTCTTCCCATTCCTCTTAAATGTCGATGTCACCATGCGCCTTCTGCACACGGGTACCTTGGAACTACACACCTTCCCCCCAGATGTAGCAGATAACGGGCGGCCGCCATACGCCGTCCTGTCCCACTGCTGGCGGGAAGGCCAACTTTCCTATTCCGAGTTTGCCAATGACCGCGAGAGGGCCCTTACTCTGGACTCATTTTCTTTTGTGAAAAAAGCATGCCAGGCCGCCAAGGAGAGCAACATCGACTATCTCTGGATTTACACCATCTGCGTCGACCAATCCTCTACTGCCGAGGTGAGCGAGGCCGCGAACTCGGCTTTCGCTTGGATGAGTCGTTGTGAGCACCTCTTTGTCTATCTCGACGACCTGCCTCCCATTACAAACTATGCCAAGCAGCACTTAGACGGAGAAGAGGAGGAGGAGGATGGTGATGATGATGCTGTCTGGAGTCGCTGCTTGTGGTTTTCCAGGTGCTGGACTCTCCAGGAACTGCTGGCCCCATTCTCCGTCCGCTTCTATGACCAGGATTGGAACTTCCGCGGCTGCAAAACATCTGAGCCATTGAAGGGAATTCTTTCTCGTATCACTCATATTGTCGCTGATGTCCTATGCGACAGCTCTCTCATTTCAGAGGTCTCCTTAGCAAAGCGCATGTCCTGGGCTGCAAAAAGACGCGCCTTCCGGGAGGAGGACAGGGCATATTCCCTCATGGGAATCTTCAATGTCTTTCTGCCAGTCATCTATGGTGAGGGTTCGAATGCTTTCTTGCGCCTCCAAGAGGCGATACTCAAGGACACACATGACCTCTCCCTCCTAATCTGGGACGCCCAACCTTCCGATGCTCGACCCTGGCGCGGGCTCTTGGCAAACTCCCCCGCCGAATTCCACCGCTTCATATCGTGTCCACCCACCTGGTGCAATCCTCTGGTTTTCAAAGGCGAAATCACATTCACTAACAAAGGTATGCGCATCCGAGGCAACTACTTGCAAAATCCTCAATCCCGCGGCCGAGGCGTCCTGCTGGACCTTGGGGGCCATGATGGGACACCTCACCGCCACGCAGTCTTGGCCATGTTCCGATTGGAGGATTGCTACGTCCGACCTGCTGTTGGGGCAGCTGGTTCTCTGCCCACTGAAGCTATGTTGAATGCTCCGATTGGAAGTGTGACCGCTAAGAGAGACATTGACCTCAAGTCGTCTATGGCCGCCTCGAATATCCTGCGATACCCGGCCTTGCGTCCGGTCTCCAAGGGCTCCCCACTTGTTCCGGTCGACCGGCCAACCTCCATTACCCCGCTTCAACAAACTCCAGTTCAAGAAGCCAACGTGACCGTCCCATTCTCTGGCAACAACGGCGACCCTGCTCCCGCGCATTGTGGCGATGAGGGTGATGAGGGTGATGTCAATGATGATGATGATACTGTCTCCAAGGCACCGTCAACACTAGTCTCCGGATCCTGTGTATTCTCCCCTCGGGCAAGCAGCCTTGGCTCGGGATCCATCCTCGACATTTCCTATTACAGGAGAAAGAGACAACACGATCCTTGTGATGCTCCGGCTCCAGGGGTTAAACGGGTGAAAACGCCGCTTGCCGCCCCTCGGGAGAATACAGCAAAAATAGTTACCACCCCCGGATGGCCTGTTCGTGACGTGGCGACCGCTAACCTGCCTGCTGGAAATACTGGGGCCGCCTGTGGACTCATGGAGGACAAGACTGGAGACAGCGACGGCTATCATACCTTGCCAGATGACCTTACCGAAAAGCCTCCGATCTTAGAGCCCAACCATGAATTTCGAGGTTCAATACCCGAAATTGTTCAACTTGCCTTGTGCAAGTTTGCTGCCTGGAAGGTAGACCCTCGAACGCGCCCTTTGGCGCCTCGCTTTGCGTGCCCCCTGAGCCTCGTTAAACCGAATCGCTGTCGGCGTTGCTTCACGCGTTGCGAACTACTTACCCTCCGTGATCTTCAAAAACATCTCACTGCACATCGTCTGCCTTTGTACTGTCCAGTTTGCTACATGGAGTTCAGCGGCGCCTCTGATCGGGATGAACACATTGTCCAGCGCAACTGCGAGCTCAGAGACCAGCCGCCGACCTACGAAGGGATCTCCGAGGAGAAGCTGAGGCTGATTTCTAACGTTCCCGCGTCGCTGCCAGCGGTGAAGGCATGGTATGCTATCTGGGATATCCTCTACCCCGAGACATCGCTGCCCTCGTCACCGTGGCTTCCTGGTGAGATTGGTCTCCAGATCAGCCTCGCTCGCGACTTTTGGGCTGAAACGGGCCAGCTCATCGTCTCCGGCTTCCTCGAGTCCAAGAACAAACTCTCGTGGGATATGCCGGACGAGGAACGCAGCCTTGCGGCTCTCTATTCGCTTGTCCTTGACCATCTCATTGATGAGATTTTCAACGGTCAGGACAAGCCATTTTCATACGTTTCTGGGAAGCAGGTCTCGGTGAACCCGGGACCTGCGACCCGATCCCAATTCAACGTCGGATCCTTTGTGTGGCCACTCATAAGCAAGTGGATCCCTCAGAACCGGCAACCTGCGCCAGCTCCACCAGGAGCTGGTATTTACGATAGGACTCCCCCCCAAGACCAAAGAGAGGGAGGACCAACACTGACCCCATCTGCCATGTTGTCGGGCGTGGCAGATAATGGGCCAAATCAATAATATGTTCAATCCCGCACAATTTTATAGTGGGAGTGGAGGTCGGCCGCCTTTGTGCTGACTTTCCGCCCCAGGGTTCTTCTCACTGGGTGCCTGCAGCTGTAGGCTCTAGGTGGGAAACCCACATGTTTCGGATCCAGCTCTTCACTGGGATGGTACCATGAGTGATGTTGAAGACATCAATCTTATTGCTAACAATCTTCTTTTCTATTCCTCTTTCTCTTCTTTCTCTTCTTCTTTCCCTCCCTTTCCTCTCAATTTTTCCCTATTCTCCTCTTCTTTAGCTTTCCTTATTTCCGCCTTTTTATTTTCATTCTCATTTATTTATCTGTTCCTATAGGTTTACCCCATTATCTTGTCCTGCGCATGTAGCTGCCTTCCTATTTGTCCCCTCTTTCTCTTCTCTTATTCTATTCTTCTTTTATTTTCTTTCTCTTTTCTTCTTCTTTTCTATTTATTTTTTTCATCTCCTTACTTTTTCCTTTCTCTTCTCGCTTTCCTTATAATTGTGATTTCTCAATGTACTAAGAACCCTCCTATACTTATGTTGATATTGTAGGAAATAGTACTAATAGGCCTTAAAATAAAAATCAGTAATGATTGATGCCTGAACCTGATCTCTCCTACAAATTAGTATTGTGAAGATGAAGTTTATATTATGTTGTTATGCATGCTATGTTTACCTTAAAAATATAAACATATTTACCTACTTTTCTTTTTTGCATTTTTAGCTCTGATAAGCAATGATTTAGCATCAGACATAAATGTATAATGTAGGTTCCAAGTCGAATATTGTGCCTTGATGTTGGGCTGTAGTGTCCAGACAGTCAACGACCATGCATATCTCAACATTCCCCTTTCCACACCAACATCTATCTAGTGGCATATCTATCTACATACACTGCCATTACCAAAATTCCGACATTCCCAGTTGAATCTGCAGAAATACGGGGGTGTGCCGTTTGCGGGGAAGATGATCAATCTGGGAGGTATCCCGACATTTGCAGTCTGAATGGGATGGGGAGGAATAGCCACAGAAAAAATTCCAACAATTCAGACATTCTGCAACAAATCAATAATATGTAATAAACACACCATGAGAGGAGTTAAATGAAAAGTGTGGCGTCAAATCACTGGTTAAACAGGTGGTATAAATGGCCGTTGAGAGATTCGTATTCAACAAAATGACCAGGTTAAAAAGGCGCCTTGCTGTCCTCCATCCCAAGTGACACGTTAAGCCACGAACCCCCATAATCCAACCCTTCCGCCAGAAAATCATCCTCGGTTTCCGGCTTCACCGACGGAACGGATATCTGCTGCAGACACTCAGGCGACTCAGGTGCCCCCCAGAACCCCGGATCCGGAGAGAACACGGGAGAAGTCGACCCGGCAGAATGGGGCAGGGATGGAGGAGACGGCTTGTCCTGGCTCATCTTGATCCGACTCTCCGTCTGGAAGCGATTCAAGACTTGGGTCACGGTCCTGATGACCAAGCCTTTTAGATCCACACCAGTGCTGGTAACAGTGTCCGGACTGCTGGTGGGGCCCGCGAGGTGACCCGGTGCCGAGGCCTGTTCCTCGGCGAGAATAGATGATACAATTCCTTGTCCCGTCCGCTCCCAGGTCAGGCGCATCAGCAAAATGGTTTCCTCGAGCTGCGTGCCGAGCCATACGGATTCTGGCGGAGTATTCCCGGGGAAGACGGTTTCCCAGATGCGCACCCACTGTCGCTCAAATGTATCCTTCCGGTCGAGTCTCTTCATAAGCTCTCTCTTCTGGTCTTCCGATATACCTTCCAGGTAGCTTGGTTCTCTCTCCCTCGGTTGGCAATCGGACCTTCTTCGGACGTGTTGGTCCCGCAAGTCATCATTCTCAAAGACGGCATAGCAGATGGGGCAGTAACATCGAGGCCGGCTATGCTTTCGGTATATGTGCTGTTTCACGTCCTTGATGCGACGTAGGTCGAACTTGAGGCACGCAGCATATTTGAAGGGGTTTAATTTATAGAAGGGGCAGGCAAATCGTCGCAGACCGTCCTGGGAGCTGTTATCCACTCTCTTAACACTCTTGCGAAAGTCATCTTCATCACTGTCTCCGTCTGGAGGGCCTGCCCTCTTCTTTCGCGGCACTGTCACTGAAGCTCCTCCACTCCCCACTCCTCTGTTCGTGGCGACGGGCCAGGTGGTGGCTCTTGAAGACTGCATGGTCGAGGAGGTCGATGCAACGGAGGAGGAAGTACCCGTGTTGCGAGGAAGCGACGACCAGGCGGCCATGTGCGATAGAAGCAGACCGGACTGTTCGAGGCTGCATTTCTCTGAAGCTGAAACTGATGACGATGTAGTCCCGGATAGTGCGGGAGTTGGTGGATGAGTATTGGATCGAATGACGGCTGTGGGCGCTTTGCGAGGTGTACTGTCACCCGTATCGGATGGCATTGGTTGTATTTGGCTGGAGGCCATGTTCACGTCTAGCGGTGGTTCAGAGAAGGTGGGTAGAGAAGTGGAGAGACCGAGCGGGTCGGTAACGGTGGTGTGCGAGTGCCTCATTTCTGGACGTGCATCTTTCTTCGGTCGGGTTTGCTTCGGTGGCTGGGTTCGCCGGGAGCCCGTTTTTCTGCTTCGTGGTGGGCCGAGTGTGTACGATGCACTCATCCTATTCAAGTCCGAGTCCGTCGCCGAGTCCCCACCGGAGTCAACATTTTCAAGGCCCGGTGTGTTCTGAATGGAATGGAAAGCACCGGCACTAGCGCACGGTATTGGAGGTGTTGGTGGTACAGACTGGAGGCAAAGGGGAGCTTGGAAGGGATTGTTGATCAGTTGGCCATCTGGGGATTTGGTCGTTAGTCGGAGGAATCCGGAAAAGATCTCGTCATCGCTCGAGATAGTGTCTGCCGACGATTGAGGGGACTGTAGGTGGTCAAGGTTGGCAGGCGAGTCTGCAGTATAGGAGGGCGTTGGGCCTCTTGCGGTGCCACTTGAATCCGGCGTAAGGGGCATTGTCAGGGGGGCATCAACAAGAGCTTTCGAGTCGGACGTCGGATTGAGGTGGATAACAGAAGGCGCCGTCAAATCCGCCACAGTTAGGGGACTAAGGTGCGGCTTCATGATGGGGGAGGGATGGCTACATGTGTGTGTGTCGGGGGACTAGAAAGGGTTTTGAGGAAACAGGATTTACTCGTTCACGATCACACTCGACAACGCAACCCCGGTGAGGGAATGATGATAAATACAAGGCGCCTTGAAGTGCGCGAGTGGAATATAAAGAGCCGCTTTCACTCCCCCCATATTCGCTGAGATCGGAAGAAGGGCGCTCCTGGAACAACGATAAAAGGAGCGCGTTAATGGACCTTCCGCAATCACAAAGTTTGTGAAGCATTTCTATCAGGCAGTTTCACCAAATTCCGGCGAGATTGGAGACATCGGAATTCAAAAGGTCCACGGTCGGTCGCAGGTCGAGATGCGCCAGACTTGGAATGGGTAAAACAGGCGAGATAATGGGTTGGTTCGCCAGGGTGAGGAGAGTAAGAAACCGGACAGCACGCCAGGCGGGGTGGTAGCTTTCGCACACTTGTGCAAGGTGGTGTGGCATTTTGGGGGGGGGGTTTCGGTTGGGAACATTTCCATAGGGCTGGGATGGACAAACAAGAGAAAAACGCCATATGATTGTGGTCAAGGATTGATGGGTCCAGAGGCTTGGAAACCTGCGAGGGTTATTCACTCCCTGCAGCTGGATGCACAAGTGTGTGTGTTCGTGGACTTGGCGGGGAGATTGCTGCAGGAGTTGGAGCCCGATTGGCGATGACGATGACGACGGTGTCAACCATTGATTGGATAGATGGGCCTCATCCCCCGTCTCCCGCCCCCTTCCCCCATCTGCTGTTCCCTGACCTCACTACACAGGTATGTCCCGTCCTGTTGTGGCTGTAGACCTTTCTGTCCAACATTTGGTCCGGATTCGGCACAAGAATGCCCCGAATCGCAAGTCCAGGGACTGATACCGAGACCAGTCGGAAGGGCACACCTGAGGACGAGATCTTGGGATGGAACTGATCATCTGGAGCTAGAGGACTGGAATTGAAGAGAAGAAGTCGCATTTGTTGTTCTTCCAAGATATCAACAATGGCGCCGACAATTGCTGCCGATGATGTTGATGATGTTGATGAGGATGGTAATTAGGATACTGATCATGTTGGCGATGCCTCGAAAATTTACAATCGTATTGTTGGAAGAAGGAGACGCAGCCTGTTGCTTCTGCTTCTGCCACCGCCCGCACGAGGAAGGAACATCAATTAATTTCTACGATCCCAGCCAGCTCTTTCCTTTCTGTATGCGTAGTATGCATAGGAGTTGCAAGTTGCATGGAACGTGTAACATGTGCCTCTCCGACCCCAACAAGTACGTACTCTTGTACACTCCGCGACAGAGCTGAGAAGCCTGATGCTACTCCGTGTCGGCGGTGGAAAGCGTGCTCGAGGCAAGCGTTGATGCAAACTGCCATCATTGATGCCGATTGTACAATTGTACGGGGTGCGCTGCGTGGCGCGGGCACTGTTCTTTGGGTCGATAGTTATTACTTGTTCTGGACATTATTGAAGTACGAGCCCCCGAGCATTGGAAGAGTCGAGAAGCCCAGCCTGTCATGCCTTCCCTCCTTCAAAATAAGTCGAGGGGTACAAGGTCTTCTTATCTTCAAAAGATGGCGCCAGACACCCACCCCGACCTCGACCACCCCACGTACAATAGGTATTTACACTTAATTTTTGAAAAGGGCTCAGCACTTCCAAGATTCTGAGGTCACTATTTTAGGAAGGGTTGATTTGGAAGTAGTTTACGTACTTCGTATTGCCGTGGAAGTAATGCTCCAGAACTCTGCCCGCGGAAAGAGAACCGCACACCCTCACATTCCTCGCCGGGGTCCCTCTTGGACAAAGAAGGGGGGTTACTTCGTACTTTCCAATCATCAGGCTGTCAAAAAGCACTTTTGACTTTGTAGACTTCGCATGT